ACACACACACACACACACAGAACTAAAGTATGTAGATGACGTGAGATTTTAGAACTCCTCCCTAAATGCCTGATTAATTATATTTTCACTTTACTCATTGGAAACATGTTAATTATATAATGATATGTAATGAAAAATAATACATTTACAACAGAGGTGGTAGATTTTACACACTCAYTAGTAAAATATTTTGTCATTCGCAATTTTACAGATATTTGTTCAGGATTTGCTCAAGTTATTCTGGAACACAAGCAAAAACCTTATTTTCTTATAATCAGAAGTTGTTTTAATCCTTATTATGTTTTATTCTTTCTACAAAGCTTGATTTCAGTTCCACTCTTGATGTAGAGGACCAACTTATCTTCAGTGAGTTATTTTTGCTGTGAGCTACACTTCATGTTTTCTGTGTTAGAAATGACACCTAAAGATGACTCAAAGAGCAAAAGATTTGATTAGAAGATGAGACTTTATATGATGTGTCTGTTCTTGACAGTTTGAAAGATAAGCCTGATTAGAAGAGGTCACATGAGTCTTCTGATGAAAACAACAAAAAATAAAATAAATAAATAAATAAAATAAAAAAAACACCTTTCTGCCAATAAACATCTTATCATTTGCAACTTGACATATTTAATATCATTTTCAGGATCTAATTCAACTATTTGACTTTTGTTTTTGACATTTTTCAAAAATGACAAGACAGTTTTGTTGCTAACTCAACAATTTAGTTTAGTTAATTTAGTTTTGTCAAAATTTACTGATCAAAATGAACGAAAATAATAATCCAAGGCATCATTGTTGTCTCTCTGGTGCTTTTGTGTTTGAAAATCAACCAAATCCAAGCAGCAAAAAATCTGTTTGATTTAAAAAAAAAGAAGACAAAGATTACCATAAATTTGTCCTAATTATTACAGCAGAGTGGAGCACAGAAATAAAGCCCACTCACTGTATATGCAGGATCATAGACACAATCTGTGATGAACTTGTTTATGCATTCTGTTGCTGCATGCTGTTGCCCATCATTCTCTTAGGGATGTATCTTTTGGGAAAGTCAGATATTTTGGATGATGCTT